AAACAATATATGTATCTTTTGAAAATATCAAAATTCTTAAGAATATAAAGTGCAACAAGTTTAACAAGAAATGTGTAACACATATGCTTGTTGAAATGAAGAGCTCTGGACTCGATATAATGTGTCTTATTCCAACAACAAGTTTCAGACAAAATTACAGTACAAGACTGCCGCTGACGTCACGAGGCAAATTCATATTAGTTTCAATCCTGCTCACTTACAGATAATTTTTTGAAGATGGATTCGTTCAAATCTAAGGTTTGCACACGTGAGTTTGTGAAGTTTAATTCATGAAGTTGAAATCGTGAATACATGATGATGAAATCGGGAAACTGAAATATTGTGTCCATGAAGCTAAAATCATAAACATGTTAAATTAATAAAGCTGAAGTCTTGAATTCATGTTCTTGAATTCGTCATGTTGAAATTGTGAATTCATGAATTGAAATTGTTAATTTGAAAGCGTGTGCTAATGATGTTGAATTTATGCAGTTCCACTATTAAACTTTACTTTAAACGTTTATTTGGTTCATCATTCATTAGGCTTTAATTTGGAATTCTAGAAGCTGCACCCGAGAGGTTGAAATATTGAACGCAATATGTTGAATTCGTGAAGTTGGATTCGTGTTACGCCGCTTTTCATGGAATGACACTACTGTGTCACATTGAAGGCTCGATGATAACCGCCGTATGAACACATCTGCGGATGTTTTTAAATTCAAAATTTCACAATTTTCGTGTTTAAATGTTGAATTCTGCTTAAGCCGGTGCTAGGGGGCATTGACGGTAACTTGCGAGCCTGCAACATTTGACAATTTTGCCGTGTTGGGCTTTCTTTAGAGATTCTGTTTATCTCTATTTCTAAAATTTTAATTGTTTGTTTTGAAAACGTGCATTCGTGAAGTTGAACTCACTTTTGAAGTTAAAACCATTTTTCCTTGAAGTTTAAATAATAAATTCTTGAAGTTTATTTTTAAAGAAAAAATCGTGGTTTAGTGAATTTAAAATCCTGAACTCATTTAGTTGAATTGATTGCGTAAAGATGTATCATCTGGCGTTCGTATTGATGAGATCCCATCGCTTGTACGCACATTAGACTGAAATAGGGATAAACAGAATCCCTAAAGAAAGCCCAACACGGCAAATTTGTAAAATATTGCAGGCTCGGTTTGATTGAGCCTGTTCATGGACGGTATTGGTAAGTGCAAACTACCGTCCACGCCCCCTAGCACCGGCTTAAGCAGAATTCAACATTTGACACGAAAATGGTGAAGTTTTAAATTTAGAAACATCCGCAGATGAGTTCATACGGCGGTTAAGTCTTTTATTTAAAGAACTATCCTACTCACTATTGTTTTTTTTCGAACGACAGCGATTATTTTTCATCTCTTTTGAGCTGATTTTTGAATCACTTAATACTTGTTAATGACCATCATCCCCACTTGCAGACATGGTTTCACAATAGTCGAGCGCGCTGTCTAAAGCATAGCTCTTGTTTGTCATTGGCCTTGATAACAGTCTGGGTAAAATATTACCTTTGACGACGGATGTTTATGATTTTTAAAACTGTAATGAAACAATTAGAGTCTGACTAGCTACATTCAGCTTCCTATGCATTATTTCAAAAGCCAGCTGACATAATTCTCTATTTATATAAATAACGCTTGTAGCAGTTCATTTCTTTTCAACATAACATAAGATGTACAGATTTATTGATTACAACTTATTCTTCAAAACCAACTACCCTGACACAAGTATGTCAGCCTTCTATTTGGTACTGCTATTGTAATAGTGTGAATATTTTAATATAATCGTATATAATATCATTTGTATTTTCCTAAATCTTAAATTACAATTTTATATAATTTTGAGTCTCATTATCGAACTCAACCGTTGCATATAGTGAACATTTGATTTCATTTTATCTATTAGGGTCTATACTATTACCTACGGAAGAGCATAAATGCCAGGTGTTTGTTTCTTACTAACTCGAAAATTCGAGTAACTTATCTCGAAATTACGAGTTACTTACTAGAAATTTTGACTTACTTACTCGAAATTTCGACTTACCAACTCAAAATTTCGAATTGATTACTCGAAATTTCGACTTGCTGACTCGAAATTTCGAATAACGTAACTCGAAATTTCGACTTATTAACTCGAGATACTTACATTGCACGACTTACATTGGTTGCCGGATTCAAGGATTGAATTCAAGATACTTTCTTTCATGTGTAACTATTGCACATTTAACAGAACAATTTAATATGGCCAAATTGTCCACACATACAAAACATATCATTTCTATTTTCTTGATTGCTTTTTTTTGGCGGTGGGGTGTTAAATCACACTTACCACATTTCCGTGTTAACCGGATGTTTCTTGTGTTTAAAGCACACATACAACCATCATGTTAAGATACAGCAAGTCCAAAACCCACCCTATTGTAAACTGTGCAATATGGATGTGTTAACTAAGTTTTAAGTGGCGTGTATACGCTAGTTAGTCATGTGTTAACTAAGTTTTAAGTGGCGTGTATACGCTAGTTAGTCTGTCACGTTTCTTTATACTAATAATATTTTTGTAACATTTTTTAAAAGATGTTTGTCAATACTCTATATTCATCTTTTTACTGAGACTTTGTTTCATCATGTTGTGTTGATAAAAGTTGATAAAAGTGGAACTTGTTGTTATATACATTTTGGGAATAATATTAAAAATCCGATTTTACAAGAAATATAGTCAGTCTAACAAATTTGACAAAGGCCTCAGCACGCCCTATTTTGGCCACTCCGCGGCATTTTCCTCAGATGTCCTGCAAGTGAAATATAGGATTGTTTTATTCACAGGGATGAGAAGAATATGAATAGTGAAAAGATATGTTCGAACAGGTGGGGTACAATACAACGTCTGAAGAACGCCCGAACGTACACATTAAAGGAAACCTTGGATTTTTTTAGGTCGGGCGTGTACATGCCATTGTCAAAAGTGACCACACTAATAACTAGAGGATATTTGTTTGTTTGTGTGTAAAATTACATCTTACACAACAAACAAACAAATTTTCTTTTTATTTTATGCTTAAAAACAAGTTAGAATGAAATTTCTATAATTTTAACGTTAATATTAAAATCTGTTTCCCCCATTGAGAGCCCCATTTAGTCGAAATTTCTCATTAAAAACAAGAAGTCTTGAGCTGAAAAATAAGTCCGCCAATCAACGTTAAATGACGGTGATATTTATTCATTTTATTAAAAAGATATGAATGATCGCTTGTTTTAATAATAAAAACAAACAATTCTTGTAGGAGAAAAAGTCCAACCATCCATCCATATTTCTGTTACTTACTGCGAATTTATATTAGACCTGGCTTTGTAAAATATAAGCGGCAGCCATTTTTTAAAGTTGTGTATTTCATGGGAGGAAAATAATTGTGTAAGATTCAGAGGGATATAATTTGGATTTGTTAGCCATACACCTTTTTAAAAGAAAGAAAACTTATTTGAGGATTGTAACAGACAAAAAATAAGTGTTGACAGATGTGAAAACATTCAGAAAAGGAGCTAGGAAAATGGAAAACTTGGAAGCTTGCTCAGGAACGCTGGGTTGTTTTACTTATTCTTCGAGTGATGGCTGTCATTGCTTTTCAATTTTTCATAAAGCATACGGCAGTTATTGCTCGTAGGATACTTTAATATGACCAAATGTCATCAAGAGCAGTTTTGCATGGGGAAGGAATGTATTTTTCAGACTGTAAAAATGAAACAAAAAAATTTAGAGACGCAATTTGGTGATTGGAATTTGAATGAATAGAAGTAAGTTTTCTTCTTTTTATTACTTTTGACATTTAAGTTATTTATCAATTTCAGCTTTGCTTTTTCTTTAAACAGCCAGATATTGTCAGAATTTTCAGCAAAAATAAAATTGAGGTATCACATGGGGAAAATCTTAAAAAAGTAGTTTCGTCATTGAAAAGTGTGAAATTATATTTTGATAATTTTCGCTGTGAAATTATCAAATATAATTTTCACGGATAAATCAGTAATCCAACGAAAATCATAAAATAAGTTTAACTTTCACTTTAATAGTTTGTCCAGGCACCCGTTTCTCCATCTCCGTCGTTCAACTACACTTCCTACTATATCTTATTTTTATCTAAACTCTTGGTAACTCATAACGTTGGCCATTCTAGTTATGTAACTAAGTTGAAATTTCGAGTTTATAAGTCGAAATTTCGAGTAAATAAGTCGAAATTTCGAGTTACTAAGTCAAATTTCGAAATAAGTAACTCGACATTTCGAGATAGCATGTCGAAATTTCGAGTAAGTACGTCGAAATTTCGATATAGTAAGTCGAAATTTCGAGATATTTAACTCGACATTTCGAGTAAGTAAGTCGAAATTTCGAGTTAGTAAGTCAAAATTTCGAGTTACTTACTCGAAATTTCGACTGAGCAACTCGAAATTGCGAGTAAGTAACTCGAAATTTCGAGTTAGTTAGTCGAAATTTTGAGTTAGAAACTCGACATTTCGACTTACTAACTCGAAATTTCGAGTTAATTAAAAACACACACTTGGCACTATTGCTCTTCCGTAATTACCAGCTCCCTAATTAATCTTTAAATTTAAGTGCGCACATAACAGCTGATATGTCCGCACGCGTTAAAAACAGCGTATTAATTTTTAACAGTTGAACGGGCAATTGGCTAGCACGTGTACATCTTTATGCTTCAGATTGACCCATATACTGGTGCATTAGTTTGCTACTTTAAGTGTTTGACATTGTTGTGTCTAAACAATCATTCCACTTGTAGTCTACTTTGGAAAATCCCTTTTTATATTGTTATATTCACTCATCAGCGGAAATTATAAGAAGTAGACGTGCAATTATTACAATTCACGGAAGCAATTGTGATTCAATTGTTTTAGATACAAGTTTCCTTTTAATCGCTGATGATCTAAATGACTGCATGATAACACTCCTTGTAAACGTGGAGTGGTGTTATCTCACAATAGCATCTTGAATTTATTCAAAAGGGTATACCGTACTTCCTTCTAAATGCGTTTTATACAAGATTCTTACTTCATAGCATTCATGCGATAAACTATGTGGCGTGTTGCATTGCATTTTATATCACTGATAGTTCGGATGTCATAGTTAGAAACGGTTAGTATTTTTTCGTCATAGTTTGTTAACATATAATCGTTGTTTTTATTTTTATCACGTGATCGTCCGATATATTTTCTGTATCTGAAACTGCACAATTCAACATTTTCTTTTTTTCTCTACGTGCGCCGCTAAGGATAGTTAACGAAGATATGTTTTAGCGAAAATTACAATTTAATCATTAAAGGTAAGCGGAAAATTATAAGAATGCAATTTTAGGGCGTATTTGCAATCCCTTATCAAAATTTGGATTAAAATATAATTGGATTCGTACACAGTCGCATGCACAATGTAGAGATAAAATTAATGTCACAACAAACAAAGTTGTATTATGTTTATTTTTTGCTGTCAATTTGTATAAAATCAGTAAGATATAAAATTATTTCATCAACATTTCTCAATATTTCATTGATAAGTATATAATAATTTCTATTATATAGTATTAGACAATTTACTCATACTGAACAATGCGTACTTTTAATTAAACAATTACAAATATGTAAAATACTGTGCCGGTCTTTTTAAAAATTGAACATTTTTGAATTATTTCGTTCTTAATATCAAGTGGATTATAAATATTTTGAATTATTAGATATAAACTGAAATACAATTATGGGAAAATGTTATCTTTATTTGTTGGATATACAATTTTTGCTTAAACATTTATAATAAAGGTAAGAAAATCCAAATAAGAAGTAACCAACGCTGTTTTTTGTTAACGCATATATAAACGGAAGTAATACCATCTAAGCAGGAAACAATACACTTAAAATAGAGAAGTGCAATTTAATTAACAAACTCTTTTTGTCTTACTTTATCCTTGTACGAATTATTATTATTGGCCAATATATAACCGCATGTAGTCTTTATAGCTAGCCGGTGCTATGGTGCGTGGACGGTCACTTGCACTTTCCTTTTCCGTCCATTAACAGGTTCAATCAAACCGAGCCTGCAACATTTACAATTTTGCCGGGTTTGGGCTTTCTTTAGGGATTCTGTTTTTCAATATTTATATTCCTGTAACGTCGATTGCTAATAATGCCCCCACAAAGTGGGGAGCATATAGCGTTGCACTTGGCCGTCCGCACTTTTGTCCGTCCGTACGTCCCGAAATCTTGTGAACGCAACTCTTCTTAAACCGGATGGCAGATTTTGCTTAAACTTCCAGGGATGAACAACCTTAATGTGTAGATAGTAGTAAAGGGAGGATATTTTGCTGCGACCAAATTTAACAGAATTATGGCCCTTTGTTGATTTTTTCACTATATACCATATATATGTTGTCAGTGGGGGCATCCGTGTCCTTTGGACACAGTTATAATTTTACAGAAACTGTTTACAGTAGAGTTTTATGAAGAATGAAATTGTTTTACATGGATATTCAAATTAATTTTGTAGTAGAATCATATCAAGGACACTGTTTAACATTAATAACTAGTGTCTTATCATGGTGCATATCAAACTGTGTACAAAAGTAACCCATCTCTTAATGTGGTTAAATATATTTCTTTCAATTCTCTTTTTTATAAGAATGTTACAATAGAAATAGATATAACTTTTTTCTTATTATATTAGTATTATCATTAGTATTATGTTATAGTAATGCACAGTTTATCGTTCAAATGCTTTTTAATTAATCACTCAGGCCTATTGGTTACGTGATGTTATTACTGTGCATTGGAAACAAGCATTATTATACAACAATGCAATAAAAATATATACATATCCTAATGAACAATGAAAAGATGGGTCCACTATATGGCAAATGAAGAACTTTTTGAAAACTTTAACAGGATACAACAAACCAAACGCTTTTGCAATAATAATGGCCATGTACAGGGCTAAAAGGCCCTCTATATTTTATTTTCTATATGAAATATAGATTTATATGAAAAGCCAGGGACTGAATAATTCACATCGAATAAACATCCACACGAAGATATGAACTAGCATGTATTAGCTATTGTATCATAGTTTAGAGACCTTTCTGTTGAAAATGTGTCAGGGTTAAATCGTATACATATACATGCACAGTGCGTTAACTGGAGTGCGGGTATTAGTAACCCGCACTCCAGAGCATGCCCATTGATTGCTGGGGTTTACATATTGTGACGGCAGAGAAAGGGAAAGCGACAGAAATGTCATATTCAGATGTTCGTTCATCGGTTCATTTTTGCCGGGGTTTCATATTGTGACAACAGGGAACATGATTTTATGTTTGACTATGATACAAAAGAGAAAGAACACCAAAACACTCGGCAATCTGATTAATACTCGGGGGCTACGCCCCCTCGTACAAATCAGATAGCCTCGTGTTTCGGTGCTCTTTCTATTACTTATCAATCTTATGCTCTATATATTCTTTGCACGTTAATTATACACTTCATGCAATACACTTGGGTTTTGAATTACAGATCTTGGAGTTCAAGGAAACCATCGCAGGATAGCTTCAAATGTAAGTTGATTTTAATGATATTAAGAAACTAAACATGTAAACAAATATTAATTGATTGCTGGGAGTTGTTGACTAAGTATATTCAGATAAATCTAAATAAATTTATAGATATAAAAGAAAACAGTACATTACTTATCATTATGGTTGTATGAACCGAGAGTTTATAATGTTCATCAGTTGACAATAATTCGGATTTGTTTACAAATGTACATTACCGGGCATTTTTAAATTGAAAATATACATATTTTCAGTCATTAATTAACGAAATGGACATTGTCTTCCTTTGGGTGTCAAATATTTACATTTGTTACACATTATCAAAGACGACACCCTCTGTTTATATTTACATCTAAAACTACGTGGTAGAACCTCTTACAATCCGTATTACGTCTGAGGTTATTTTCTAAGAAAAATAGCTGAGATGTTCCGAGTGCTAAAACCTTATGTTTCATGCACCTCATTACTTCCGCCTTTTTGTATGATACAAGGAAATAGTTCTTAAACGTAAAAGATGTCTTTTTACAAGAGGACGGTACTTTGTATAATGTGTTGTAACCTCAAAGATCTTAAAATCTTTACCGTATTCGATTACTTTAAAATGTGGTAAACGTTAAATATTTTCACGGTCTTAAGGTTATAAGAAGTTGGTTATTTTATATAAATAATCTTAATAAAATTTAAAAGACAGTTTACCAGATTATATACCATAAGCTAATAGTTATATTTTTATTTTATTGTTTTGAAATACAGCAATTTGTGTTTGATGAAACCATCGCTGGATTGACACAAAGGTCAGTTGAGATTTTATTTCTAATTTTGATGTTTTAGTATTATCTTATTCATTCCTAAATATGTTTTTACCTGAAGTCCAAAACAATACAAAGCTCACCGTCCTAATGAAGTAGAAAAAAATATGTTGTGAATATATGAAATATAAGTGTAAGTTATTCAATTCAATCCTTGACTGGTTTATGACAAAAACAAATGATTATGTCTTTGTTTAATAATAGTTTCGACTGTGAAAAACACGTAATGCATTCGTTGAAAAAAAAGTAAAAAAAGAATACCCGGTATGACAAGCCTTGAAGTACTGTATTTATTTCAAAGTATTGTTCATGTGACACGATAAACGAAACGCACAAAAATAATTTATTGAACATGAAAAATAAAAAAGTGAAAAGCATAACAAAATACCAGATAGAATACAAGGAAAAATATTTTTGTCACACTAATTAGATACCCATTATTAAGAAGTTTCAGCGATTATTTAATTAGATTATGATTCGAACAGATACGTTATTTGGACATTAAACCAAGGAGGTACTCCGACATGGGCAATCATGAATCCAAACCGGAATGGCGTCCTACTGCATCAAAGAAGAAACCGGTAAGATTTATATACATATATCCACTGAAAGATTTTTATTAGTGAAGGTATTGGTCAAATACAGGTTTGCTGAATAAATATAGAATCATTAAAGTAAAAAAACTGTAAACGCCCTTTCTTCTCGGTGCTATTTTAAACACGGTGCGTTCCGTCTGATACTGACCTCAACCTGGATCATGATTAAGCAGCAAACTTGACGACCTTGAAAATGATAAATGTATAGGTATAGGTATAACGCTTTATAACTAAAATACTTTTGGGCATGCAGTGAGAAAATCTAGCAGTATAATCCGTTGCTGAAAATCCCTTCCTGGCAAGATAGTAGCGTTCAAACTGGTATATGGTAAGTCAATTTTGATGTCCATAAAATATCACTTCGCCACCTTATATAAAGGTATCAATATAACGTTTCCATGATAAAACGCGTGATCCCGACAGTTTAAACATGAAAACTAAATATATATAAAAACAACAAACAAACACACATACGAACAAATAAACGGTTGAGTTTAAAAAAATAATTATCCCGTTAATATAATAGACAGATGTCTTATTTGTTGCAGTAAAATGGTAATGTAGATTTATAGGAAAATATTTAAGTCTTGTTTGTAAAACTACAATAACCAAAAGCTTATATATTTGGCATACAGAATTGCGAAGTTATATAAATGACCCTTTGAGTGACCCTGTCCTGTCGTGAATTACTTAGACAATGATACGCAAAGGTCACTTACATAGACTTACAATTATATGCATTGCAGAGCATTCAATTCCGAGTTAATTATCTCTCTTTAACAATATTAAATAAAGTTTGCGTTCATACCCAAAACAAACATCCATCATCGACATTTAGTTCGTTAACTCTTGAAGTTGTCTATCCGCCTATATGACTGAAATACTGCTGGGAAAAAGCGTAAAATGAAACAAACAAACAAACTTTAGTTGTCATATTTTTGCCTCAGTCCTCACCAAACTTAGATGTCTGGCCAAGTTATTGCTTTGATGTGTTAGAGCAATCGTCATCTAGAATGTACGATAGATCTAGGTCACATGAGTTAAAAATAGAAAAATCTTGTTAACACTGCAGGATACTATTTCTATCGGTTTTGTCCAAATACCCTGGATGGAAATTGGTCAACAAAATTGTTTTGATGATTTCTAGCTCAAGTTTGAATACGGGTTACCTGGGCTCAAGTCTAAATAATGGTAATCTGCTGTCAAAACCTAGGGCGGACAGCCCAAAACTAATTTAAAAAAATGTTTATACTCTACAAGTTACTATTGAAGGTTGTTAGGATAAACCCAATTATGGAAAAACCTTGTTAACACTTTAGAGGTTACAGTTGCAGTCTAGATATACTTGAAATTGGTTATTTACATGAATTTCAGCTCAAGTCTAAATAATGGTAATCTGCTGTCAAAACCTAGGGCGGACAGCCCAAAACTAATTAAAAAAATGTTTATACTCTACAAGTTACATACTTGAAATTTGTCAGAAAGGTTGTTAAGCAAGATAGAGTATGTTTAGTCTGGGGTCAAAAGGTAGGTCACAGTCAAAATTTGGTTAATCATTGTTAACAATCTTGAGGTAATAATTTCATTCCAAAAAGTATTAAAATAACGATCGTAAAGGAAGCTTCTATATTTTAGAGGTCTAGATCGAATATTGGTCATCTGGGGTCAGGAACTAAACAACACCGCCCTAATCATGGCAAAAAATAAGATAACACTCTAGATACAATATTTCCGGCCCAAATATTATCAAATTGGTCGGAAAGGTAGTAATATTAATTTTTAGCTCAAATTTAAAATAGATCGTCAGGGTCAAATCTAGGCTATAATGCCAACATTTGGAAGAAGGACAACCTTGTTAACACTATAAATATAGTACTTTGAGCCCAAATATCCTTTAAATTTGTGAGCAAGATTGTTTTTATGTTCATTTCATGTTCAAATATGGGTCATTTTGGGTCAGAAACTAGGTTACACAGCCCACATTTGGAAAAACTTGACAATATTTACACTTTTTTGGGGGGTGCTGATATGTACGTTACGATATCAGTTTAAGATAATACTGTATCTGCTTTTCATTAATAGCTTACAGTACTGATTGTCCACTATCATAAAGAGCCTTTGAATAAATAAATAAATAAATTTGTGTAATTATGTTAGTTCAAATTTATCAATTCAATATATATGGTGTAATAGAGAAAAAAAAATCCCTAAAAAAAGCCACACTGCAAAATTGAAAATGTTACAGGCTCGGTTTGACAAGGAAGTCACGTGATTTCCAAGTAGGTAAACACTCTTAACTGCGAAGTTGTTGATGTAAAAAGGCAATACAGATCAAAGGGAAATTATAAAGTGTTCTCAGTAAAGGATACAAGTTTAAACACATTTGGTTACGTAAAATAAATTGCGGTAATATATCAATCTCAAGAGCCAGTGAATCTCGCGTATGGGCTTTTGGGTCAGGATTGGAAAGCTTTGTTATTTTTAGAACTTCTTATTTGTCTGTTATATAAGTATCTGATCCTCTTAATTGAATTATAAAATTTGCAACAGCGGCCCCACTAAATTCACGAGACTGGCTTGTCGATTCATTTTATAAGACTGGCGCAAGTCTACACATGACCTTTTTATCTAAGACAGCCATTGTGCAGTGTAACTGATAGACTTTATGTGTGTTTGAAACGAACGTGAGAACTTGTACATCCTCTGTTAAAAATGCTTACACACAATTCATTGTTGGCGTCCGCGCCGAAGCGCGACGCCCCTTATGGAATGTAATCAGATTTTGTGAAAGGGCAATTGCAACTTCTTGGGCTTTTTCTTCGGTCATAATAGCCGATAATTCCGATTGGTATGAGAGTGTTTGATTATCAAAAATGAAATGTCGCGATATGTACAATGAATAGCGAACTGGAGAATTTAGCAATGCAAACATATTCAAATGGAATTATCTTATCCGTCAATTAATCGCGCTCTTCTGTTTTTTTTATTAGTACACGTGGGTTATTATGTATGGCTATACCTATAAGTAGAATGATGACCATAAACTGTACTAGTACGAAAATGTTATAAACCGTTCCTTTAGCGTTGACCACAATGAAATGCGCTATATATATAACTGCGCCTAGTTTAAGAAAATGCTATCCTGTTGACTAGCTCATTTTAAACTTTTTTTTCATTTTTACATTGCAACAATAAAGAATATCAGGTTTCGCACGTTAACAATATATTACAGACGAGCGGAGTAGTTATACAAGTAAGACGTAGACAATTTATATTTTACTACATTTTACCAAAAAGCTTTAAATAATGATTTATATTTAAATGCGTTAAATATGCTAGGGTGTGAAACATCATACGTTATCTAAATACATATTACATATTACAGTAATTTACCATTTTATAACATTTAAAAAAACAACTTTTGCTTATGAATCTAATGAACGCATTTACCATGCTTCTTAGATTTGTTAAACGATTTACCTGAACATGACTGTCAAAGGAGATTTGTTAACTCCATCGGAGATGTATGAAGTGTACAGACGAGTGCAATAATCAATTTTCTCAAAACTAAACACTATAGAATTTATGCAGGTTTATATCATATAAGCTGATAGTTTGCCAAGTTCCCCCTTCTGAATTATGATAAAATAAATGTGAAGTGATAGTTGATCACAAATTTGTTTGTACAGGTTTTTTTTAGTTCGGTACCCTGCCCCGCTTAGAATGGCACAAACGTGTCACACTGAATGTCCCATGAAAACTGCTGTATGAACACATCTGCCTGTTTGAATATTAAATGTTGCTTTCTTGATTCGCCGGTGCTTGGTAGCGTGGTCGGTAGCTTTTACTTATCATTACCTCCATAAACAGGCACAATAAGACCTAGTCTAGACCATATTTAATTTTACCGTTTTTGGCGTTCTCTTACCTTTGAATTCATTTTCTTTGTCGTTCATTGCTTACAAAGCGTTATGTATTTTTGAATAAAATGACGCATCACTAAATTCAAGTGCTGCTTATTTGGCGAGTGTTTGATTTTCGTAATTATACAGCATAACGTGCTTACATGCAATTGAATAGAGAAAAACAGAATCCCTTAAGAAAGCCCAACACGGCAAAATTGAAAATGTTGCAGGCTCGGTTTGATTTGGCCTGTTTATGCCTTACAAATAAAATAATTGTCTTACCTGTATTTTCAGACTTTGCATTGTAAAAGCTAAAATTCATTTTCTTTTTTATGTTTCAAAGTGTGATCCAATTTTGTTAAATGCAATTATGCAATTATATGCAAACAAAGGTCGTATAACATCATGTGTCAATGTAATTAAATTTCAAGAGACAATAGGCAATACTATTTGTTTTGGTTTAGAATGTATTATGACATTTGCATAGATTAATCAGCTTATTAACTTTCTAAGGCTTGCCAGTTATTGTAATACATTTTCTCCGATAGTTGCCCTATTTTGACGCATCAAGACATCATAATACTGAGGAAATGAATGACAAAATGGCATGTTTCATACTAAACGCTTGTAATTAAAGTATTCTCAAAGTGTTAAGGATATTTAAAGAGTTAAACATCAAATAAACAATGAAAGCCATGAAGTCAGTTTGATTTAAACTATTATTATGAGACAATACAAACAGTATCTTAATCATGACTCACCCCTCTAGCTCAGTTATCAGAGTATTCGAAATCATTTAGTCCATCTGACCAGTTATATACATGTATTTTACAGTACGTTGTCTCAGTTCAGATATTAATGTATGCAGATCATACACAAAACTCATAAATTCAGATAACAGGTTGGTTTTGTACTTCCGACCATTCTGATTATTCTTTAATAGCATATCTTTGCCACGCATTGACTCTACATCAACATGGATAATACATTTTTTCCTTTATTTCAGATGAGAAAAATATACGACGAAAGTACGTACAAGTTGAACGACTGGGGCTGTTTAGAGCGGTTTATATATCTAGGGTCTGAATCGTCATACAATGCGAATGACAAAGATCCAAATCGTAAGAATGCTGAGTGTATAGACAGGTTAGTATTAAGATTTCTAAAGTAAGATTTGTTATGTGTAAAGAAGCTTTTAATCACATTTGGAATGAAAAACATGTCTTCAGTATGACACCGACTTTGTTGGACTGGATAGGTATGGTTTATATTGTAATATAGAGGCAAATGACAAAATACTTAAACTTAAAATATCTTGTTTTCTTTTCAAATGAAATACATTAGAATATTAATACATGCAACAGGAATTATGAGTATAAACAAAAATTCGTATTGAACATAGATAGACCAAGTAGCAGAAGCACGATTCGAAAAAAGTGCATACTGGCAAAATCTGGGAAAAACTGATCGTGAATATAACAAAACAACCTTTCTGAAAAAGATCTTATTTTCAATTAGTCGAGAACGGGTGAATACAGCGAATTGGCAATGTTTTCAAATTTTAAAAGATCTGGCACGGGTAAAGAAGAACTTGTCCGATTGACCTATGCTTTATTTAGCCTACGCAACGCACACCTTTTGCACTATCGAGGCTTTGTTTCAAATCGAGTTCAGGTGCTTCTGTTATGCGCTAAATCTTTCTGATTTATGTTGTTTTTATCAAATATTTTCACAAAGAGCTCCGCAGATGCGAGGTAATATAAGGTATAAAACACATACTCTATTTTTTTACAGGAAGACATGAACATACTAGTAATAGAAATAACATTTATTTTATATTAATTTCATTTTGATTATTATTATAGACAAAATCAAGTAAATGAAGTTGAAGTTAGCTGATTGCATAGAAAATCAAACTTGATCTATGCACTTGTATGCCAAACATGAACACATACAGTGAAATCCTTTTTAAGTTTTTTTTCTTTGGAAAATAATTATTTCACAGATAATATACTGAAAATGGACTATAACTTTTCAAATAATGAGTTAATTGAATAAAAATCTAATATAACTTTTCTTATGATAATAACAAACTTGCATGCACAATATAAAAAAATCATTGACAAACTACAAAAGTGATTCTGCTGAATCCAATAGTTTCACCAAAAATGTTTTAAAAGGGAATTACATTTATGATTACGCTTATTGCAGTGAACATAATCTTTAATTTGATATAACGAGCTTAAATGCCAAATATAAACACAATCACTGAATCCTTCTAAAGATATTCTACTAAAACCAATAACTAACAAATTGCTAATAAGTTGGCACAACTCTATTAAATATTGTGTTGGTTGAAGCCAACATCGAACGTTACCCGAGTTTGTATATAATATACTTTTATTGACGGACAAACGGACGTTCTTCATGACTTGATGTTTTACCTATGATCTTCTTTGATCTCTGAAACCCAATAAATTGTTTCCCCACCAAATCAAATAATGTCACTTGAGTCCGTACGGACAGGCGGGCGATAAATTGCTATTAAAACATCGCGAATGTCTGGTTTATAAAAAATGAAAATGGTAGTTCGACCTTGTTATAATTATATCATGTTTATTTATTTTCTAAAGTAATACAATATATTTGAGTATTTAAGAGAGTAAAAAGCAAAATTCTATAAGCCGTTTTCGCTGAAAGCAGTGTGCATTGATAAAAATGTACCTTTTGTTTTATCATAGTCATTATACCTCATAAAGTTGATCAAAGTGTACTTGGCTACCGACTGTTTCTATTAAAGTGCCATTACCAAAGAGAAAATAGATACATTTAGCATATTTTAGCGAAATCAATCATGGAAATACCCCCCAAAGTCAGTGGTTCCTGGAACAAAATACCATATGCACATACCATAATAAGGTACAGTTATTCCCAAGTTAACTACGTTTGAACTACTTGCAGCATTCTTACTTACATAGAATTGATATGGCGCACACTCCTAAGGCACCATGTACTCACCTGCAGCACTAGACAAAAATAAGCTATATTTGTTGGAGTGTTAACTCTTTAAACCTGTTACTATACCAGAAGCAGTTGGTAATCGTAACGTAATAACATTTGCCAAATATGACAGGTTAACATTTGCATCAAGCTGTACCACATTTACCAAGACTTTTGCGCATTGCTCTATCGAGTATATTATATTCGTGTGAGGTCAGGAAAAAGGTACACTAACTATAACAAAAGTAATTCAAACAAAGGTTTTAATTTTGAAAATAATTAACAAAAATCATAGAAATCACAAAATAAATAAATCACAATAATAATACCACCTTTCTTGATTTGCATAATGATAGCACCGAAAAGCGAAAAATAAATGAAGCACCAATGTGTTTAATGTGTGCGTTCTCAAGTTTGTTTATCCCGTTGTAAAGCAATAAAAAATTATATTTGAAATGCCTCTTTTCTTCTATATAATTCCACAAATAAAAGTTTCCTTTGGTATGTTCATTTTAAGTACTGATAGTACAACTCCAAGGGTAATTTGAGCTATATTTCATAAGTTTGAAGTACTCGATTTATCTATCCACTTGTACTCAATGCCACTAACGAAACTCTTTAAAAGCACAAAACGTTGTGACCTTTTATTATCTGTTAGAATCTTGAGCCACCATCATGTGCTGTATTTCTCCTATCGGTCGTCCTGCAGTATATCTGTATCGTGTACACTGTTTTTCCGTCTGCCTTTGCTTAACCATTCATTGCTCTAATGCAGTCAGCATACACATGATGAACAATACCGTTTTATAGCTAGCTAGTATATTATACTATAATATTTGTGATTTCTAAAATTCAAATGTAAAATAAAAACACAAAATCTATGTGAACATTTGTAGCCCTCATACAAAGTATATCATATAAATAATGTTGTCAAATACGCGGATATTGATATACTAAATTCATTATAACAGTTCCGATTATTTTATATGCAAACTAAGACTTTCATCATTGTATTTCTTTAAAATAAGGAATGTACATTAAACGGCAAAAAAAAAAGGTTCAGATAATGTTCCCTTGCCAGCATTAGTTGTTTACAAAATTACAAATTAATGATTCAAATCATTTTGTTCATTTGAATTGTAAGGGATATAAAATGCGCTTACTTGTAATTAATACGCTTATAATTTCAGACTTATTGGTGCTGGAAAAGGGGTAGAAGTGGTGCACAATTTATCTGATATAAGTCTATGTGGCAGAACATTGCGACAAAATTATTTAATATTTGCACTTGCAATATGTGCAAGATCCAACGATGAAGAAACAAAGAAAGAAGCATATAAAGCATTAAACGCGATATGTCGTATCCCAACACATTTCTTTTTGTTTGTTAATTATTGCAAACAGGAAAGTCTGCAGTCAGGATCAAAAGGCTGCGGCTGGGGAAGAGCACATCGTAGAGCTATGATCAAGTGGTACGAAGAAAAAGCAAAACATCCGGTCTGTTTAGCTCGACTTTTGACAAAATACAAGTCCCGTCGAATGCACACAACTGATAAGAAAGGAGAGACCTGGTCGCATTCTAAAATATTGAAGAAAGCACATCCAAAATTCGAAGATGATTTCATGAAAGTAGTTAAACAATACATTTTTAATGGCTTTAAAGGGGCACAAAGCTTTGCATCAAATAAAGAAATGAATAGTGAAAGTATTTCAAAATTCCTGACTTACATAGATGGTACAGAGAAAGCCAAAAGATGCACTGATGAGGATACGCTCGCGGCACTTATAAAGGAATATAATCTTGAACGAGAGCATATTCCAACACAAATGGTGAAGTGTCCCATGGTTTGTAAAGCGATAATGACAAACATGAAAGCGGGAGCGAAGGTACGCAATATCTGTTTGATGTCTTCTAGAGGTCTTTGTAACGAGGGGTCGGAATGTGAAAAAGAAATAATAGCGGTACTTAGTAACGAGAAAGCTTTACACGATGAAAGAGTTCATCCAATCAGAATTCTTATTGCTTTGTTGTCGTACAAAAACGGCGAACATTTTAAGAAAACTGAAAGTAAGAACGGTATGGTAAATACTCTTAAATGGAATGTGAACCAAAACATCTGCCAGGCGCTCAATGCAGCCTTTTATCAATCATTCATTACCGTTCAGTCAAGTGAAAAACGGTTCTTGATAGCGATTTCCTGTAGCGAAGATATGGATAAACCATGCAATGGTTGTCCTGCCATTAACTGTAAACAGGCCGCAGCGGCGATGACGATGCTGACTATTCGCACTGAAAAAAACTGCAAAGTTGTTGGATTCTCCGATGGTCTGAAAAAAATAATCCTTAATAAGAACGACTCACTCGAGGACGTCACTCAGAAAATAAGTGAAATAAAGGGAACTGAAACTGATGTATCTAATCCAGTTCGCTGGGCTCTGGAGAAGAAAAAGACATTTGATGTTTTTATAATATATTCAGACAACATAAAAACAGAGGGGAATCAAGCGATTGAGGCTCTTACGGAATATCAAAAAGAAATGAAAACGCCTAATGCAAAATTGATCGTAGTTGCGATGTTAGCCACTGACAGCATTATCGCAGACGAGCGCAATCCTTTCATTCTTAACATTGTTGGTTTCGACAAAAAAGCTGCATTGCGCATACAAGAATTTGCCACCTCAGAAATTTGACTTAACGGCGAATAGAAAAGGAAACGTTTGTAGGACATTTATGAACTAAACTTTATTCTACTTTTTAACGTGACATCAACGGTGAAATTATAATTCGTTCGGCTCAACAAAGCGTAATATAAATAGACAAATAAGTTTGTATGCTGTGACGAAAGAGTACATACAAATTTAGTTGTTTTGACTGTTATGGACTTTTCGGAAAGTAGTTTCTGTGGCCATTTTTAATTGATGACGTAGGAATATCCCTACCTAATTTTGTTAACCTTCATGTCAGTTATACTTACGTGTATCTTTTTCCTCGCTAATACATCATTGTTTCATTTGGCGTATTGTACAAGTTATATTTTATGTAAGTAACACAAATAGCCATTCAATTATTCAACTTGATTGTAAACAAACAAAGAAAGAGAGAAATAAAACAGACAAAACATCCTAAACGCTATAATTTCTGTTACAAACTACGCAAGTTACGGCCTACATGTATATAAAATTTGTTTAATTATATTATGAACTATTCACTTTCAAATGATCAACATCATCATTTTCTTCTTTCTTTATTTTTTATCAATCTAACCGTGTTTATTTTTTTATTATTTTGTGTGTGTGTGTTATATAATTACATGTATGCTGTTATGAAAAAGTCCCATCATGAATGGTAATAAAACTGAATTGATATCCGGGAACAAAAGGATGTGTAATGGACCACACCCCGCTCAAATTTCATGTACAGTGACTGTCATTTTACTTATATGTCAAGTACCGGTAATAATGTTATTGATTATGCAATAATGTCATATCGGTTATTCCCCATTATAAGTAATTTTGTCGTTCACGACATGTTTTCATTTTCGGCACATGCTCAGATTCATATTGATTTAAAATGTTTTTGTTTGGAAAATGAAAATATCAATGAACCTCATTGTCAAGAAGATAAAATGGGAAAATGACCGAAACGACATATTTAGAGAATGTATCTCTTCTGATTTATCAAGCATTGAAACTATTGTTAACGATGTAATTGATAATAATTTAAGCTTAGATAGCGGTAATGACTCTATATCTGCTATTTTATACAAAAATACATATGATATTTTCGGAGTTACGAAAGTCGTTAAAACGTTTAAGTACAGACGGAAATTTAAAAGTCAATGGTTGGACCAAAATTGTGAGCGTGAAAGAAAGAATTTTGTTCATGCAAATAGATTGTACTTAAATTGTAGATCTGCACTTAATAAATAAAATCTGATTATTTATAGACGATTGTATAAATTAGCTTAGGGGAGAGCAAAGACAAAATATCACTTAGCTCAAAAGAATAAAATGCATAATTTATCAAAAACCTCTCCGACATTGTTTTGGAAGGAAATAAAACAGTTTAGAAAGAAAAGTGCCGATCGTAAAGTGTCGAATGAACAATTTTAACCATTTTAAGAATTTATTTAATAGCCAAAATATATTTTCAAATGATGATGTTGAACAGTGTATTAATAGTGATGATGTTATATTACAACAAGTTGATATGTTAGATAAAGACATTACAATAGAGGAGGTATCTAAGGCTATTTCTTCTCTAAATAGGAATAAAAGTTGTGGTTATGACTTACTTTCACCAGAAAAATATTTATTGAATGTAATGATTTATTATCTCCAATTTTAAGTAAAATTTTTAATCATATTTTCACAAGTGGATCTTATCCAACCTCATGGAATAAAGCAACTATTGTACCTGTCATGAAAAAAAAGGGATCCCAGTGAGGTAAATAATTATAGGGGTATTGCGCTTACAAGTATTTTTTCAAAAATATTCTCAGTAATCCTACATAATAGACTTCGAAAATGGTCAGAGGTCAATTATTTCTTAACAGATAATCAGTATGGATTTAGGAATAGTAGAAGTACTATTGACTGCATGTTTGTACTAAATTCTATTATTAATAAGATTGTTAAACGTGATTAAAAGAAATTGTATACTGCATTTGTAGATTTCCGCAAGGCATTTGATTTAACATAAAAAATGGTATTTGGTTCACATTAATTGACACTGTTGTCTCAGGTAAAATGTTTAAAATTCTAAGAAGCATGTATGAGGGTGTGACAATATGTGTACGTAATAATGGCTCACTTGCTGCCTCTTTTGATAGTTACATGGGCTTGAAGCAAGGAGAGCCATTATTTCGGTCTGTACTAGCCATGGACAGTTAATAGTTATTTCGGACTGTAATAGCCTTTGACATTTAATAGTTATTTCTATCTGTACTAGCCTTGGACATTTAATACTTATTTCGGTCTGTACTAGCGTTTAGATAAAGGAGTAAAAGTAAAGTTTATCGTCAACTGAAATGTGACAAAATAGTTGGTCTAACAACAGTCAAATAAACATATTCAGTAATCAAGTCTGCATGAACGGACTGCTAAACATTAGTTATTTTTATAAGTCAATAACTTTGATCAATATGTTTGAATGCTACGCATTCAAGGACCAATGTTGTACGTGTATTTTAGAATAAAGATCAACAGGACGGCATTCCATGAACGCAACATATTCTATCAAGTCTGCAAAACGACAATGATAAATAAATTGCCTAAGTTACTTAATCTTGCTGTTTAATTTGTTTTAATGAGTATTGATTTGTTTACGGTATCTTCTATTTTGTTTTGTATATTACATGTATTTAGTTCCTGATTTATTACGAATATGTGTTTTTTTTCATTACGATAGTATGTTTTGTGTATATTATACTTATGTTTACAATTTAAAGTTAATTGGTCAATAATGGAAGAACTGTAATTATACAATTATTAATGTATGTAGATTGTATTCAGTAGTATAGTTAAATAAAGCATCTCTCAGTCTTGTTTCTTGTTTCGTATCCTTTTAACGTTGAAGCAACAAAACACATACACACATAACCTGGTAGTTCAATCCATTATTTGGCTTGTAAGGTCTTAGCGCAGGGTAAAACAACTAAGACATATGGTCGGAATGGCCTTAACAGGAAGACAATGACTGTGTATATGTACATTGTGAAAGCCAGAACAGCAACCTGTATTGACAGGTAAACTTTTTTTGAAAATATCAAAACATATCCTGAATATCAAATGAGTATTGAGTGTTTTAAGTAAACACCGTTTTGAAGATCTGTACCGTTTTGAGAATCAATTTATCAATAAATGGTATTCATTTATCAATAAATGCTATTAGACAGTCCGTCGTTCTTCCATTTGTTTAACATTCTAAAATTTATATACCCAACTAACCCACACGATATACTGCACAGGTTAAATTAAATACTTAAGGTATCACTCCATATTTAACTTAAAGTACAAAAACCATAGACGCACATACAATCTTTATCCGATACGAAATTCATTTCATTTTTTAACCTAGGATATAATTGTCACGACTATGCGATATTTACAGCTAATTAATACGAAAAGCTTACACTGGCGATGTGGGCTATGTGTATCCATATATGCAGTATGTACTGCAGTATTTAATATATCTAACATTGGCCTAATCTGTAATATTTTCAATTTTTACGTTATGGGTGTCCGTTATAAATTCCAGTTTTCTCTATTTTCATTTAACTTTACAAGAGGGAGAACAACATCAACAATGCAGAACACTTACGAAGGGGTTCGACAAGCCTGGCCCTTTTCTACTTATAAATGATAAAATTGATATACCTGGCACAAAAGTAAAAAAAAAAAACTTATTGTATGCTTGTGAAGTGTGATCAAAGTAAGCAATTCTTTCTACCGACTTAGAAAAATGAATTTGTTTATTGACTTTGTTGATCCTCAACAATAACACATATATTAATTATTTACTTACTGCCTGCTTTGAAAAGTTGTAAGAGTAAATGAAATGTCACGTGTTTTCAATTGCAAACATGTAGAACAAAGCGTGTAACTATTTATATTCTTTCTGTAACAAAAAAAGTTAGAAAATTATTACGCAGTAGTGTATATATTTTGCTCAAATTCCTATTATCGATCATGTGATACTGTCCTGTGATATACTGCTCCAGATGACACACGGAAGTAATAATTTAAGACTGATGATTGTCAGGAAAGTTTAGTGCGTGTTGAGAACAGATAAACATGTTACAGAACGTAAATCGTCTAAATTATTTCAAACTATATTCGGCTTATACAGAATATCAGTACAACAAATGGTCTCACAAATGCACGTAACTCTAATAATTGCATCTAACTGACGGAACGGCAGTGGTTCTACTCGTGTCTGCAATCATGTACGGACGGGCACACGAGATTCCCTTTCAGTTAAGCTAGACAGTATTAAGGCAATATTAATATTTTATTAACATCTGGAAAAGGGGTTTTACAAGCAAATCATTTTTATTTCATTATTAGTTATATAAAAGGACTTTTCTCTAAGAATTTGCTGTCTGACAGGATGCATATGTTTTCATCATGCCATAACATTGACGATGGCTGACGATTGCAATCTAGCTCATGAATAGCAAACTAACGACTTAAGACACTTTTTTATTTGCTTGGTCACTAACACTTAAAATAACACATGACTGTTCACAGTGGTCAACAAATGCAAAAATAACATAGATAGCACGTTATGCATTCTACATCGAAGTATTATAAACCAGGGAGATGATGATTTTTATAAAATTTATATCGGTTTTATGTAATAACAAATTAGAAGCAACTACGAGAAGTCAAATTGTGCTAAGTTTTGATAATGACTTTTCCATGTTACACACTCTGTTATAACACAAAAGTAGACGTAATCAAACATAATAAACTTTATTAAGTTTTCATCGTTTGCCCAATCAAACTGAGTATATAATATTCATGTAATTTTGCTGTGATTAGTGCTTCCGAAGGATCACTCTTTTTAAGGTTTTTACATGCACTGTTTATGGTAAATTCTTGCCTTTACAATTACATGTATGCTGTTGAAAACACTTATGATGTTGCTGTAATACTTTTAATAAACAAGGTTTAATAAAAATAGGCGGTCGATCAGTCGTCTAGTTCATTTCTTTCTGTCTTCCCTATTTACAACCGAATCACTCATAACTACACCCAATCATTTCACAAAATAAGATGATATTTGAATGTATTCAAATAAACCATCCGAGACGTAATCGATTAGGCTGACTAGCCTAAATGTCTGCATGACATATATAATACAACACTTATTACTATTATTGAATGTGTCTAGTGTTGGGTATATGCACAGATGTTACAAGTAAAAAAGTAACACAGCTCAAATAGTTTCAAGGAGTTGAATAAGTAACCATTTAGTAGATGGTGCATCACTAAAGAGATTGTGTTACATGCATTTATGTAAATATTTTATACAAATAATGCAAATGTTATAATGAAGGCATAATAAACTCGTAGTAGTAGTAATATATAATTGCTTTAAAACTCTTTGTATGTTTATGTAACATTAAATAAGACGAGTTAAACGAAGGGATGTTTTTCAATATTATATCATAAATGCTATTCATCCCAATGCTTATAGACTTATCGAATTTCTGTTTTCCCTATTATCATGTCTTGTGTAAAGAATTGAAGAATTATATAACTATGGCGACAGTTTGCCGATAGAATTTTATCACCGATATGATTGATGATTGTCTGTGTAAGTTGTAGACATCACCTATTAATATGTACTGTTTTAACAGGTCATTTCTGATCTTGAAAATAACAACATTACAATAATTGTCAATATTCAGTTAGTATATTCTTTCTAGTCATGCGATCAAAATAGCGCATTCTTATTAATATTAAAAATTCATTCTCCTTTCAGAATCCTTTATTGTTTTAAATATGATGTCAAAGATTTGATCTTTTCATTTTAAAAGTTTTGTGAATTATTTTTCTAACTTATGGCATTGATGTTTGTTTTCTACTCCATAGCTCCTTAATACATCCCGATGACACCCGGTTGTAAAGTGTATACTCTAACGCTTAAGGTACATAAATAAATCATTATTGTATGGTCAGGTAGATGTTCAGTTGTATATTATAGGTACCCATAAATATCCTTCTAGATTTTATGTATGGTCATTTCCAAAGATAATACAACTTTTGTGGCTTCTGGAAAGTATAATTATCCGTCTGCAGACAATAAATCTATCATTCATTTGAAAGTCTGATAAAGTGGTCTCTTTTTTATTCTCCTTTTTCTTTGTTCAGGCATTTTTCCAAAAAGCGCTGTTCAAAAGGATTTGTAACAATAAACGTCATAGTCACTGGCTGATATACAGGCTGTGATTGAAGACCAGTCATCCATTACGATTAATATACAATAAGGTTTTATAAAATACGGTCTTAGAAAAGTAAAGGGATCACTTTGTTTCCAGATTTTTATACTTTACAACAGCAGGTGTCAAGTGCTGTGTGGCAGCTGTAAAAAGTTGCCCCGTACTTCACTTCAGTGTTGTTATATTTTTCTGGTCCTTCGGGATCATTGATGCCTGCACTATTAAGTGTTGAGAATTGAGTACCTCTCAAGCCGGTGCTAGGGGGCATGAGGGATGTTGCACATATTCATTATTCCTCATGTACAGACTCAATCGAACCGAGTCCGCAATTCTCTTGTAATTTTGTTGTGATTAATGCTTCCGAGGGATCACTTTGTTTCCAGATTTTTGTAAATAAAAATGGGATGTAACAAAATCAGGAAATTACATCAGCACAGTGGCAAGTAGTATGCAAGTTGTAATAAAGACCAATTGACAATTTAAGATACGTTGTATTAACTTATATGTGAAGAGCTCCAGTGAATCCAATCTACAAAGTTCTTCCAACTTGGCTCAGTTGTTCACATGCTAATTTGCAGAATAAATGCCGCTCTTGTGACTGCCTAACGTCAATATCACTCCTAAAGATCGGATGTAAACAAGATGTGTCCGCTCCTAAATCCTTTACCTTTTGAAAGTTTCTTTTTTACTCTTTGCCCAAATAATCATATCAAGAAGGCGATGTACAAATACTATGCCTCCGCTGTGGTGCCTTTATGTCAAATCCATATATCAATGTCAAATATAAGCAAATCTATATTTGAAGATTAAATATAAGACAATTTGGTGAACGCTCTAAATCCGTTATCTCTGGTAGAATAATTTCCAAACTAAAACCCCAAACAATGTGATTTGCAGAACTAAATCCGCCGATCTTGAAGGACACATATTAGTTTTTTTGTACATCTTAAAAGGAGAAGAGCAAAACTCAAGTTGTAGGAGTGCTTTTTTATGATCAAGAGCACACTTATTCGCCACATGTTAGACAGTTTTGTTTTTTCCTTTTATAAATCAAATACGCATTGAGATACCTTCTTAAACTTAGCCCAAATAATCACCTTTTAAAATTAAAATCAGTGAACCCACACAAAATCCTTTGTCATAAAGATGTAAGGTTATTCGTATCACTTTTGAGGGCTCTTGTTGCATAAGCGTTTCGTTTCATTTTAAAGGGATGTTTTTTTAGTTATATAGACACTTTATACTTGTACACAATCTATGCTCTTAGTTAACGAGGCACAAGCGTAAGCTTGAGGAATGTGACAACTATGTTAACCGCTAGCAATTTGATGGTATGTATGGTAATGTAATAATACCTCGTACATATTTCATTTAAATAATAGAAAGGCATTATGTTGACATTACTGACATGGGGTCAATATGTACATTTGCTGCTAAATTACACTGATGAACATGCCTAAGAGAATATATCGTTTAGGGTATTTCGATTGAATTGCAAATGCTATATCTAATTAAGTTGTTACTGTATCATTGACCTTCTATTGATATTTTGTTCTGTCTAAAAGAAAAAAAAAAGGAAAATGCATGGCTTGTAGCTC